CATTCTAAAAATAATAAAACGGGCTAGATATGGTGGCTCACACCTGTAATCCCTGCACTTTGAGAGGCCAAGGCAGGAGGATTATTTAAGGCCAGCCTGTGCAACATAGTGAGACCCCAACTCTACCCAAAAAATCAAAAATTAGCTGGGTAGGATGGTGCATACCTATAATCCCAGGTACCCAGGAGGCTGAAGTGGGAGGATTGCTTGAGCCCAGGAATTAAAGGTAACAGTGAACTGTGATGGTGCCACTACACTCCAACCTGGGTGACGGAATGAGACCCTGTCTCTAAATAATCATAATAAAACTAAAGCCTTTCCACACCTCTGTCTGCCCTCCATTTATAACCTTCTCTTTGATGTTCCAGCTATTAGGAAAGTGAATCATAGAACTGTTGTACTTTATTATCCCCCTAAAACCAGTCCTGGCGTTGCTAAAACAAAGCTTTCCTAAGGTGCTTAATAAGTGACTCCTATAATGGCATCTTTCAACTTCTTCCTACATGACCTTCTGTGGCATTCAACACTACGGACCTCCAATTCCTTGAATTGTCTTCTTTCTCAGTTTCTGGCGAACTCTAGTTTGTCCTGACGTATTTATGCTGCTGTGATTATATCCCTCCCTTCTTTGTCTGCATGTCAGAGTGCCCTCTAATTAAAAACCCACCCATTCTTCTCTTCCTCCTTTTTCGTCTCCTTCTTGGTCAAAGGCATCTCCCTCAAAAGTATCACCAAAGACGGAGGCATCAGCCCTTGGGTTTTGACACCTGCTTCTCTTTCTCACTCTCCACATTCGTTTTTACGGTCGTACAAATCCTGCCCCTTTTATTCACCCTGCCTCTGCCATTATCTCTGCAAGTGCTGCCTTTGGGTTACTTAGAAGTAGGAGGCAGCCGGGCCCGGTGGCTCAGCCTGTCATCCCGCGCCTTTGGGAGGCTGAGGTGAGTGGATTGCCTGAGCCCGCGGGTTCGAGACCCGCCTGGGCAGTGAGACCTCATCTCTACAATAAATCAAAAAATCAGCCGGGCATGGTAGCGCATGCCTGTAATTCCAGCTACTTGGAAGGCTGAGGCGGAAGGATTGCCGAAGCCCAGCAGGTCGAGGCTGCGGTGGCCGGGAGCGACAACTGCACTCCAGTCTGGGCGATAGAGTGAGACTCCAACTCAAAAAACAAAAAAATAAATAAATAAAATGTAATCTGGTTGGGGGGGGTTGGAGTGACACGCAACATCTATAAGGGTACCTGATTTCAAACCAGTCAAAGCGGGGACCAAAGGGAGGCTCAAACTTTACCTGTATGATAACCACTTGGATAACTAATCCTGAATGTACCCTACATCTTTAAATACAAAAATAAAATAAAATGCAATCTCAAATAGTTACCTTAACAAGAGAGATCAAAGGGGTAGATAAGCTCTCTTGAAGTTGAAGTTTTCTTTTCTTTGAATTTTGAAAAGCTGAATGTGAGACTGATACGGAGACCCGCTATTGTCTGTCCACATTGCCAGATCCCCTAGAGAAGGACATGGTGAGGGATCAGTTCGGCCCACCTGTACCCACATTCCTGGGAGCTAACAAAAGATGTGCTTCCCTCATCTCCTAGGCACTCGGAGTAAATAACTTCAAAGAGTTCTTAACTTCCCTGCAGACTGTCCAATTAACTGAGAGAAATAAATTTCCATTTACTCCCTTTTCTTAGTAGTCATTAGTTTGAATAATATAGCATCAAGGTAATCATAAACCTTGTGATTTGTAACTTTTGTGTATAACAACATGCAACAATGTATGATGTCTTAGGCCCTGTTAACTCTCTTTACAAGCTTGATAAACCTTCTGCCTCTGCCAGGTGTTACTGACGAAAAACTGTGAGATACCTCTGGTAACTGGTGCCAGGAAATGTGTACCATAAAATGTTATTATGGACAAAATGTGACTGTAACTTAGGTTCCATACAATGCTCTGCTAGTCATGTAGTCAATGAATAGTTACCAACAACCCTGAACTTATAAAAGCAGACTGTAAAACTTAAAGGGTGAGCAGAACCATTT